GGGGCCCAGAAGTAGAGAGCAAGGCAGATCACCGGCCTGCAGAGGGCGCTCCGGAGGCTGGGTTGAGCTAATTCCCTGAGAGACCAGCAGGAGGCGCCGCAGGGGTGAGTCCGCTCCTGTTACAGGCCTCATCTGTTTTCTTGATAAACAAATTTGACTTGTCAAAAGGTAGGTCCTGTATGATGATCTTGACCTCCCTGGGGAACCCCAAAGGGTGAAGCCAAGATTCACAACTCATAGCTATGCCAGTGGCTAAGCTTTTAACATGTTGTGTCTGCTGCTGCATCAACAACAGCTTGTAAGGATGTTTCTGACACTATCTTGCCTTTCTTGATGAATGACTGAAATTGGATTCCACCCTTTTTGAGACGGCCTTTCCCATTTCCAAGATGCTTGGAGGCAGATCACTACATACAAGTGGATCACAGAGGTCTTAACATCAGGCTACACCATTCACTTTAGGTCTCTCTCTCCTTTCCCTGACCCTCTCCAGGGAGCCCTTTCATTAGCTTTTACTGAGACAAGAAATACACTCGTTCCTTTGATTAGGAGTGATAGAGCCAGTCCCAGCTACTCACAAAGGAAAGGGGTTCTATTTGAGGTATTTCCTTGTGCCAAAGAAGGATGGAGGATCTAAGGCTACTAAACAAATTTGTAAAGTCTCAAAAGTTCAGGATGGACACTCTGGCAGCTATAATCCTTTCAGTAGAGGTAGGAGATTGGTTTTTGGCCCTACACCTACAAGATTATATCCACATATGGCTTATATCCATATAGCCATACACCCACAGTTCCCCTTCACATAAAGAACTCCCTTGACTGATGGAAAAATCAACTCAACATTGGTGCAGGCATTCCTTTTGTTCACCCAACTCTAGCAATAACTGTGACAACAGATGCACCCCATTGGGTTGGGGAGCTTACCTCCATACCCTCACAGGTCAGGGTAGATGGTCACCTCAGGAAACCCCTCTCCACATGAACCTGTTGGAACTCAGGGAAGTCTGGAATGCTTGTCTTCATTTTCTACCCCTCATCAGGGGAAAATCAATCAGGACCATGATAGACAACGTGGCCTCCATTTTCTAGATCAACAAAAAAGGAGGAGCACAGAGCTCCCTATTGCTTCTGTGCACAGAGTATAGCCCAACAGATCCAAATTTCAGCCATTTATCTCAATAGTGTTCAGAACACCACACCACAGCCTATAGTACCAGCAGGCATTTCTCCCAGGACAGTGAATGGGAACTGGAGTCTCAGTTTCTCCATGGTATATTTTCCAAAACTGGTGACTTCCAGAGGTGGGACCTCTTCGCTACCTCCAGGGGACCACTTGTACCCAATGCCATGGACTCCCCTCAGCGGCTTATGGGACTCCTATTGCAGATGCCACGAGTCCATTTTTGAGTCACACCATACCTTGCCTACTCAGCATCCATTGGATCCATCAAAATACAAGGAGGAGGATGTTGATCTGCATCCTCAGGCACTGATGGTACTAACAGGAATCTCATCCTCATCTCCAGATGAAGCAGTCACTCTATCCTCATCATCTCCACCAGGCGACCAGAGACAGTACCAGGAGCTGCTGCAGAAGACAGCCAATGACCTTGAGATCTCATTAGTGAAGGTCCAGGACCCACAACACTGACTCCTGGATATTCTGCAGCCTATAGGTCCTACCAAGGTGGCACTCTCAGTTAATGAGTTCATCTTGGAGCCAGCTAGAGTGGTCTGGTATACCCCAGCCTCTTGCACCACCATACACAAAGGGTTGAGAGACAACATTTCATCCCCACCATGGGAGCCAAATTTCTTTTCTCTCTCCAGCATTCAACTTCCTGGTGGTACAAGCAGCGATGGAGAGAAAAAGGTCACAACATCAGAAGACCACTCCACCTGACAAGGGTTCAATGAGGTTGGAACTTTTGGGGAAAAAAGGATTTTTTTCTTTTTTTTTCCTCTGTAGCCCTGCAATTCTGTGTCACTATCAGGCCTTGTTAGCAAAATATGATAACAATTACTCCACACTCGCAAACTTTAAAGACAAGCTTCCCCATGAGGATAGAGCCCAGTGAGTGGGGTGTGGAGAGGAACAAAGTTAATCCTCTCAGTACTTATCTACTAACTAGCTAGCTAACAACTATCTCATACTCACTAGTACTAAACTATAAACAAGAAATTAGCCAAGGCATGCTCAAGGCAGACACACTAGGGTTCCATCTCAGGCTGAGGGGTTGAGAAGGCACTAAGGGCAGTTCACCTGTGCAGGCCTATAAAGTCTGCGAGTCTGGGTTCTTAGGTGGTGTGCGGCACAAGGAGGTACAGGACACATTTATGGGCCAAATTGATTCTGCTAACAGAAAATCTCTAATCAAGGGCTTGAGAAGTGCATGCGCACATGAAGGGACTAAAGTGGAGCACCCCTAGATACACTACTCAAAGAAGAAAAGATGGTTCCTGTCTCACTGAAGTAGTCTCATCCTCCAGTGTGGCAATGTCCCTGGAAGGATCGGGCTAGAGAAGAGGGTGACTGGGGGAAAGGGAGAAATCTATCCTCCAGGGAAGTGTAAGTGTCTATACATTCTGGTGTTTGGGGTGTTCTGACGAACGAGACCGACAGTTCTGATGTGTCCCAAAAGATTGCAGTTGGGTGGTCCTTTGAGGGATGGGCCAGTACCGCCAAAGAGTCAAGTCCTGCGCTTTTCGATGGAGCCAGCAGATGTCAGTCCTTGTGCTTAGGAGTCGGAGCCACCGATGGATCCTTTTTCTTTTGCACTTTCCCCTCCTGACTGGGGGTTTTCAGTGTTCCTGAGCCCTTAGGGTCTACATGCGAAGGCTCACCTGACCAGCTCAGGGAGGGATCTCATCTTTTATGAACAGATCTGGATGGAGGTCTGTCCTTGTGACTGTGAGAGTGCAGCCTACTTTCACTGGAAGCATTGCATGAGGAGTCCTTCGGCTTAGCAGCAGTAGTCTCCGCTCGCAAGCTTGTGCTTGGAGAGGTGCTGTTTATCTCTTGGAGCCAATGTAGAGTATAAGCATTCTACCCCGCATCAGAGTGTGGTCTCAGCCTTTTCCATAAAGTGTTTCCTCAGTTGAAGCTCACGAGATTTGCATGTTCACGGAGGAAATGACCGACTGATGCTGCACTTTGTAGATACCCAAATGGTAGAGGCAGCTTTGGTGTTCGCTGCTCATGGTGAAGGAGCAAGGGCAAGAGAGACACTTCCTGAAACCCAGGACACTGGGTGTAGTCCCAGACCTTGGGGAGGGACTCCCCAGTATGGGGAAAGAATTATACTAACTATACTATATTAAGTAAAACTATTTACTATATCTATTTATAGGCTATAAAGAGAAAACTGGAGAAATCTGTGGACACAGGGATTCTGACTCAGGTTATGCAGCTGTAAGGAGGAACTGGGGAGGATTTGGCTTGCACTGGCGCCTATGCCCTCAGTCTGGAGCACGAGGAGAACTACTGTGCATGTTTGGGCCAACGGATGCGGCTTGTTAGAATTTCCAGTCTCTGGTGGATGGCAAGCATGAGTACCCATCTGTGGAATACATATAGGAACCAGGAATCGAAGAACCACCCAGCCTTAAAAGTCTCCTTGGGAATTCAATGTAGAAAGTTACATACACAAAACAATTACATTTTTTAAAAGTGGGTTTTATATTATCTTTCAAATATTCATAGCTATTTTTTTTTAAAACCTTCACCGTCTTTGAAACAATTGAGCTTCAGCTACATTGTTTTTACTCACATGATGTTTTCCACTGATTTGGGTTTAATAAAAATGGAGATTGGGTACAGCTGGGCTATCTGCAACCTCTTGATCGCATTGCCAGAGACATCAAGAATGCAGTGTTTCCCCTAAAGCGGAGGGAGGGGCGGGGGGGAGAAGAGGGAAAAGAGTAAAGTTGTCAAGTTACACACATGCATATTACATGCAATTTAGAAGTGAAAGTCTGGCCCCAATTAAATCAGTGGGAGTTTTTCCCATTGACATCAATGGAATCAGGATTTCATCACCCTAGGAGTTTCCAGTTGCAGCCAAATTTATTTCAGTAGTATCCACTGATTAAAAAAATTATATCTAAGGATAAGGTATTATTCCAATCAAAACTCCAGCCTTTAGAGTTGTGTTGGCCTTAACTAGTCCTAATTAATATGGATTGATAATACTTTGTTTTATAACTGGAAGTGACACTGGCCTGTACAATGCCCTATTTTTCACATATCTGTCACATATGTAATGCAGTGTCAGTATTTCAAGAAATTACCCTGCCTTTTAATATTGGTTGGGGATTTTCTTCTCTCAGTTTTAAATGTACTAGGGGATTGCACATTTTGTTCCTTCTAAGCATACTAGGCTTAGTGAATGGCACATATCAGGTGCTTCTTGCATTCATCCATTCCTCCCACAAACTCCACAGGTGTCACCCACCTTTCTCCCTCTATTTCAGGGAAGTTTGCTCCAATGTAATCCAATGAAAGCTTATGCTCAAATAAATTTGTTAGTCTCTAAGGGCTGGTCTATACTTAGCCGCTAGTTCGGCGGCTGGAAATCGAACTTCCTGGTTCGATTTATCGCGTCTGGTCTGGACGCGATAAATCGAACCAGGAAGTGCTTGCCGTCGACTGCGGTACTCCAGCTCAACGAGAGGAGTACCGCGGAGTCGACGGGAGAGCCTGCCTGCCGCGTGTGGACTGCGTCTGAACCGCGGTAAATTCGAAGTAAGGTATGTCGACTTCAGCTACGTTATTCACGTAGCTGAAGTTGCGTACCTTACTTCGACTTGGGGGGTTAGTGTAGACCAGGCCTAAGATGCCACAAGTACTCCTGTTCTTTTTGCGGATACAGACTAACACGGCTGCTACTCTGAAAAATGTAATCACCTTCACTGTTAAAATTTGTGCCTTATTTCTAATCTGAATTTGTCTTCAATTTCCAGTCATTAATTCTTGTTATACTTTTCTCCACTAGATTAAATAGCCCTTTAGTACCTGCTATTTTCTCCCCATGAAGGTATTAATACACTAATCAAGTCACCTCTCAATTTTCTTTTGCATTAGCTAAACAAATGTAGCCCTTTAAATCTCACACAGTAAGGCTTTTTTGCAGCTCCTGAATAATTTTTGTGTTTTCTTTCTGTACACTCTCAAATTTTTCAGCATCCTTTTTAGAATGTGGACACCAGAACTGTATGCAGTACTGCAGTACTGATCTCTCCTATTCTGTATACAGAGGTGAAATCACTTCCCTACTCTTGCTCACAATGCTCCCGTATTTATATAGCCAAAGATCGGACTAGCTTGTTTTGCTACAGCATTGTATTGGAAGCTTATGTTGAGTTGTTTGTTTACTATTATCCCTAAATCCTTTTCATGCATTTGGCTGTATTAAAATGCATTTTGTTTGCATGGATGCAGGTTACAAAGCACTTAGAATCATAGAATATCTGGAGGTCATCTAGTCCAACCCCCTGCTCAAAGCAGGACTAATCCCCAGACAGTTTTTTTACCCCAGAACCCTAAATGGCCCCCTCAAAGATTGAACTCACAACCCTGGGTTTAGCAGGCCAATGCTCAAAGCACTGAGCTATCCCTCCTCCCCCCATGCTGAATATTACTGCCATGTCTTCATCATTATTTACCATTCTATCAGTCTCTGTATCATCTGCAAATTTTATCTGCATTGATTTTATATTTATTTGCAGTGAAAAATATTGAATAATGTCAGGCCTATCACCAATCTCTGTGGAATTCCACCAGGAACACCTTCATTCGATGACAGCTGCCCTCTGACTACTATTTTTTGAAATCTGTCAGCTAGTTCTTAATCCAGTTACTGTGGACTTTATTAAAATTGTATAGTGCTTAAGTTTTTAATCAGAATGTCATGCGGTACTAAGTCAAGTGCCTTTCAAAACTCTAAGTATATTACATCTCTGCAGTTACCTTTATCAACCAAACTTGCAGAATGCAAGTTTGCAGAAGATGGAGTACGTGTTGCTTTTTGGTATTTATTAGAGATGGATTACGAAGTGTTGGGAGTGTGTTACTGATAGCACTGTAGGCAATATGAACATTGAAAGGAATGCAGGGGTCTTTCCCTTTAACTTCTTATTTCCATTCTTTTAAGGTTTTGGGTGGATGAGGTGTGTCCTGATGTAACTTTAACTGTAACTAAATGCACTTTTTGTTTGTGAATAGACAAGGTCTTAATAATATGAGATGTCACTATATCACTCTGTTAAATCCTTGCTAGAGAAAATAGATTTTTGTGTGTGAAGGAACAAGGTTTTTCGCTACATGATAGTATTAAAATAGTGGATAGAATTGGTTGTGTATATATATATATATAATATATATATAAATTATAGTATTCCTATTCTCTGTTTATAATTCTAAGTATTTATGCTATTTATTATGCATGTTCAGAGGAGCATGGTATATAAATGAGGACCTACCCATATAGCTGTGAAACTTAAAAATATCAATTCAAAAAATGGAAGTCACCCACTGGCACTAGATTTACCTTTTCTGCTACTTCCCGCACTGACTGGACACTTGTTCCATAAAGGTGATTGTTGTACTGGCCAGCCTCAATGAATTTGTGATCCTGAATATCCTTCTCCATTTGCTCTCGAGAGGTGACAAAGTGGTAATCCCGGCCATCCACCTCATAATCTCGTTTTGGTCTGGTAGTATCTTTAAAGATAAGTAAAGAGCTCTTTAAGCAGAAAACTACAACTTTTACCACAAATTAAATGTTTTTTACAATACCTGGAAGTAAATATTTCCAGAGAATGTCTTCCATTTATAGTGTAAAATTGTTAAATGAGAAATGGATACAAATTTAACACTTAAATAATTTTAGGAGGTAAACACGTCACAATATAAAAATTATTGAGCTCAACACAGAGAGGTCACAGAAGGACTTTGACAGCACTTATTTGATTAAATTCACTATGGTATTTGCTGGGACTTACGTGGAACACATGATCCAAATTTGTCTGGAAATTCTGAGATTAAATCATCATTTATTCTGTCTTTCATGGGTCCCAAAACAATCACTGGCCGAGTGTAATTGACTGTCAAAGATAAATTGATAATATTTCTTCATTATAGTCCAATCATTAAAACACCTTCAAATTTCACCAAAATAAGCTTTATTATAATTGTGATTATAGATTAGTTATATTATACCATTAAGATACAGTTAAAACAGACAACATTTATTCCTGGTGGGAGACATTATTGAAGGTTGTAGGCCAATCTATACTCCTGGGGGAATTCTGTGTCACTGTGTGTGCACAGAATTCATGTCCTCCGCAGATTTCTTTGCTTCCACACAGAAAAATGACTTTCTGACAGGGTAGCAAAGGGAAGCTGCAAGAACAGTCATGCACCACTCCCTAGCAGCGCAGGTACATCGTTTCAGGCAGCCGGCAGACAGATAAATCACCGCTGGGTTGGGGACACCCCAGCCAGTGGCTCCTACCCTGAGCTGGGATCAGCTACTAGTCCCAGCTGGGCTGGAGGCAGGAGAGAACTTCCTCTTCCCCTGCAAGGAATTGCTTGGGCTGTGTCAGACCCACCCACAGAAACCTCTCCCAGCTGCAGGAAGCTCAGCATCCTCCCTTGCTTCCTGCCCCCATCACGTCTCAGCTGTGGGGGGAGGGGTCTCTGTACAGGGAGCTGCTTCCCCATCCACCCAACCCCCATGCATCTGGACTTCCAATACCCAGACACCCTTGCCAAGCCTCACCCGGCACATCCAGAACCCCCCAGCCCTCCATACCCAAATGCCACCCCACTGAACCTCAACCCCTACATCAAGAGCCCCCCTGCACCCACATCCCCTGCCACCCAATCCCCACCCCAGTGCCCAGACCACCCCCCGCTGATCTCCCTGCACCGAACCCCCCACCCTGATGAGCCCCACCCTGCACCCCCACATGCAGAACTCCAAACCACTGAACCCAAACAGCTGCACCCAGACCCCCACCCCACCAAGCCCCACTTCCCCAGCACCCAGACCCCATGCTGCTCCTCAACCACCTTCACCTGGAAGCCACTGCAGAGTCCCATTGCCCCTGCACCTGGAACCCCCCTAATGAGCCTCTGTGCATCCAGATCCGCCCACACCTAGACCCTGCACTCAGCTGCCTGCACCCAGATTGTCCCACACAGAATCCTCTCACCCCACACCTGGATCCCCCCACACTGAGCCCCTCCACACTTGGTCCTGCCTGGTTGAGCCTGTGTGCTCCACACCTGGTGCGTCTGGCGCAGAGCCCCAGGGTGTTTCTGGGGCAAGCCCAGGCCTTGTGCTGTGTCGGGGTCGGGTGAAGCCTCACCGCTGAATCCAAGTCCTGGGGATGGGGGAGCTGCAGGGTTATTTTTATTAACAAATAAAACTAGCAGAATTTTAAAATATCATGCGTAGAATTTTTAATTTTTTTGGCACAGAATGCCCTCAGGAGTAAATCTATATTGAAGTCAACGTGAGCTGCTGAGTGCTCCACAGCTTGGAAAAACCGATCACTTATTTACGTGTTAAAGGGCAAGATTTTCAAAAGAGCTCATCATCCAACAGCTATATTTATGAATCTAAATATAGTTGCTATGTTTTCAGACTTGCTATTCTGAGAACAATGGGATCTGCAGGATGCTGAGTCTGATAGATTTTGCATCTGCATGCAATATCTTTGGGGACCAAATTGTATTACGTGTATGAACGGTTTATGTACGCAATTCTGGGGTGGTGGGGAGAGTTGCCACAGCTCTACCAGGAACTATGACCAGTGTGAGGTGATTAAGGTGAATCACTTAGGTCTTAAATACCTCCAGAGAGGTACCATTCCCAGAGGAGGCTTGCATACACCGGTTCAAACTGGATTTTGCAGACACCATCAGATAAAGAAAGGGCTTTTGATTTAAAGCCAGATTTAAACTGACTCAGTGCCTTCTTTCTGATACAGCAAATGGACAGGACCCCTCTTGTCTAAGGGCCCCCAACTCCTGCGGAAGGCTTGGAAAGACTTTGGCCTATTAGGGCCCTATAAGAGAAATGGGTAACCTCTTGTAAGCGTTTAGCATGTGTATCAGAACTTCCTTTTTTTTTTTTTTTTTTTAATTTCTCCCTAATGATTTTACCCTAAGAATAAAGATTCTTGCTTAGAAAGAGCTGTGTAGTAACTTGTAATTGCTGGCAATGCCCTCAGAGCCCTCGGAGAGAGAAAGCAAAGCATAGGTGCATAGGCAAACTGGCTTGCTAGGGATATTTCCGGCTACGTCTTCACTACCCGCCGATCCGGCGGGTAGCAATCGGTTTATCGGGGATCGACTTACCGCGTCTCGTGAGGACGCGGTAAAATCGATCCCTGATGGCTCTACCGTCGACTCCGGAAATCCACCTCGACAAGAGGCGGTAGCGGAGTCGGCGGCAGCGGTCGACTTTCCCGCGTCCTCACCGCCAGGTAAGCCGACCTAAAATACGCAACTTCAGCTACGGTATTCACGTAGCTGAAGTTGCGTATCTTAGGTCGGAAGTCCGCTGTAGTGTAGAC